CAGATAAAAGCAGATACGATGGCCATTTCCAAATATCTCAAGGGCTGTCACATGAAAGTTGGAGCAAACTTTTTTTCCCCTGCCATGGAGGGGAGGACCCAAACCAACGGCATCAAGTTGCTAGAAAGGAGATTTCAACTAGACATCAGGAAGAACTTTATGCTGGTAAGAGCTGTTCGACAGTGGAAAGGACTCTCTCAGAAGGTGGTGGACTCTTCTTCCTTGGAGGTCTTTAAGCAGAGATTGAATAGCCATCTGTCATTGATGCTTTCGTTGACATTCCTGCGTTGCAGGGGGTTGAACTAGATGACCCTCAGGGTCCCTTTCAGCTCTACAATTCTATGATTCCAAGTACTTCTGCACGCAGCACAGAGTTAAACTTTGGAACTTGCTACCCTAGGAGGCAACCAGCCCGGATAGCAAATCGGCAGCCAGCGCAGATCTCTGAGCCCAGGTGTCATATGTTGATAAGGCCTCGCTCCTGTCAGCAATTGTGCTGCAGCATTCTGCACTAACTGCAGCTTCCAGATAAAGTGGGAGGGAAGCCCCACATAGAGTGTGTTGCAGTAATCCAGTCTTGAACCATGCGTTAACTACTGTGAACAGGCTTTCCCAGTCCAGAAATGCAAAGCAAATTTCCTTAAAGCAATGTATTCTGGTGTGTTATTTTCACAATGTATTTTTAAGAATACTATATCCCAGGGTATCCATTTTTGCGCCTTGCCAAAACTGCATTGCAAAACTGGGGTTATGTTTCAGTTTGAGGATCATTTTGGAAAAGTGCGATGAGATAAGCTGGTCTTTAAATTATATTCTGGCCCTCTCCCTGATTTCCTACCTTCGGCATCCACATCTCCTAGGTCTTTGTATGTCTGCTCTGAATATCATTGGTGGTTTTTCAACTTGGCAACTCTGCTTTGCAGCTGAGGGTGTTTTTAACACGGGAGAACAGCCCAACCAATCAAGATGGAGAAAAAAACAACAGCAGCAACCAAGTCTGATTAATCCAGCACTGGGATTTCTAGGCTTAATCACATTTGAAGCCAGAAAGGGCAGCTGTCGAGTCTGGAATCAGATCAAAGGTTCCTGGTGCCATTCAAATGAGAAGTGCCTTTTTCCTAACAACTGCATTTGACCTTAGCGTTTTGCTTTCATGGAAACCTTCCTCAAACAGGGAAACAGGAAGATGCCTTATACCGGGTCAGACCATTGGTCCATCTAGGTCATTGTTGTCTACACTGACTGGTAGAGGCTATCCAGAGTTTCAAGGCAGGGGACATTCCCAGCTCTACCTGGAGATAGAACCTGAACTCTTCTGGATGCCAAGCAGGCACTCTGCCATGGAGCTACAGCCAGTCCCCTAAAAATAAAGTAAGATGCTAGTCCTCGTGGTTATGGGAAAAGGGCTGAGTTAAACAGGAACAAAATACTCTGTCATACTCAGTCAGGGCAACAGTCCATCTGCACTCAGCCAGCCATCAGTTTCCAGATGGGGTCCCTCCTCAGTCTCAGTGTTGCTCTTACAGAATGCAATAGGGAGAAGGATGGGGATAAAACTAATTGGCTCTGCCTGTCGGTGTCTCTGACGCCCCCTACTGTTGGGCTCCCTGCCTTCCGCCCCACCATTCCCACCACTGGGAGAGATTCTGTGAATGAGATTACATTGGGATAGGCTAAGAGTAGGATTAGGGACGCGGATGGCACTGTGGTCTAAACCACAGAGCCTAGGGCTTGCTGATCGGAAGGTCAGCAGTTTGAATCCCCGTGATTCGGGAGAGCTCTCATTGTTTGGTCCCTGCTCCTGCCCACTTAGCAGTTCGAAAACACGTCAAAGTGCAAGGGGATAAATAGGTACCGCTCCGGCAGGAAGGTAAACGTTTCCGTGCGCTGCTCTGGTTCGCCAGAAGTGGCTTAGTCATGCTGGCCACATGACCCGGAAGCTGTACGCCGGCTCCCTAGGCCTGGAAAGCGAGATGAGCGCTGCAACCCCGTAGTCGGTCACGACTGGACCTAATGGTCAGGGGTCCCTTTACCTTTACGTTTAAGAGTAGGATTAAGTGTGCAGCAGGAAACAGAATCCCACGTTACATGAAGCTCACTGGATGTGGCCTTAGACAAGTCACTGCCTCTCATGCTAAGCTACCTCACAGGGTTGTTGTGGGGGGTTAAATGGTGAGGAGAATCATGAACACCACCTTGAGTGCCATGGAGAGAAGGGGTGGGGTAAAAATGCAATCAATCAAAACAAATCAAACCCTGAGATCTGGCGAGCACAGCTGCTGACCAGGGTTGTAAGCATTTTGTACCCAATCACGTTTGTTAGAACTGATGGGAGTCCAACTTCCTCTGGGTTGCCACAGGCTCCCCATCCCTGCCGTAAGACTTGTCCGTTTCAGCTGAGTTTTAACAGCAGAAACTAAGGAAGCATAAGATGGTTTTAATTTGTCAAGAGGATGCGGCCCTTTATATCTGAATTTGCTATTTTTACAGCGTTGTTTATTTGAAGCCTCAACCTGCCTCACACCCTCAGGACAGCAGCAGCCTTGAAAACTAGGCCCTGGATGTCAGATTAATTGAATTTTGTTAAATCGGATCAGTTTTCTAAACGGGATGCTGTAGGATTAATTAGGCAAACGAAGGGAGCTAAGTAAGTTTTAATTTGACTCGCCGACAAAACAATTGAACGATCAAATGCCAACGACAGAGCTAATGGGCACACAAGATTAATTAATCGGACTTGGCATTGTGAAAAGGGGACTCTGTACAGCCACACATTTTCCACAACATCACTGGGCTATGGTTGTATTTGTGGCAGGAGAAAGGCGTGTTGGCAGGGGTGCCTCACACCCAATGGGACCACTAGGGTGGCAGACAGGAGGGCCATAAGTGGGAAGTGCCAGACCCAGTGACAGACAGAACCATCCACTGGTTGGTTTTTTTAAAAAGAAGGCATGCAGGTAGGGATTTGCTGAGGGCAGGTCAAGGTTGGTGGGGCAGTGCTGCATTTGCCCTAATGGACTAATCTCCACAGGGTGTGTTGCAGAACTTTATGTTGGACTCCCATTATCCATTATCCCTGATCACTGGCCATGCCAGCTGGGGCTAATGGGAGCCACAGTCCGGCAACATCTAGATGGCTGCAGGTTAAATAGATCTGTGTTCAAATCCTTGCATTTGCCATGGCAGTTTTTTGGGTAACCTTTGCTTTGCACAAGACCCACTTGTAGGAAACACAAAATCCCCCTGTTCCTTTCTCCTCAAATTATACACTGTTTTTGTTGGGTTTCCTCAGTAAAGGGATATCAGGGTGCCTATTGTACAGAGGTAAAATGTGTGTGTGTTGCTGCACCCAATTTTACCTCTGGCCCCTCCCACCACTGGCACAAGATGCTCAGAAGATTGTCCAAAAGGGAATGAAACCCTCAGGTTAGAAAAATGTTCCCCACCAGCCCTGGAAGTCTGCTAGATTTAACCTCTGGCCCTCTTGCTGTGCCTTAAAGCAGAAACCTGTGATGCACAGAAATCCACCTGGATGAGTCTGTCCCGTCCCCGTCCCCCCATTACTTTATCTAAGTGCTTTGACAAACAAAGCCTGGCTAGGTTTCATCATTTTCAGGGTCTGGTTAAAGGTGCAGGAGCAAAGCTGCTACAAGAAGTTGGCAACCCTAGCCGTTGCCTCCCTAGCTACTCTCCAAGGGGAAATAAGTTTCCTTAAGGACTAAAGGCAGGTTATAAAGAAAGAAAGTAGCTGATTTCCGTTCTCCTCCCACCTCCTCCCCACAATTGGGAATTGACTTGAGCCTTTAAAATCTGTAGGCTTTGAATCAACTTTAAAGCTGTTTTCTCCCCTCATTGCCTCTCTATGCTGTGGGGAAAATGTCCCTGTTGAGTTTCTGCCTCTTGTGCAGCACTTAAAGGCATAGAATATGATTTAGGAAAGTAGGGACTGTATAGCATAGGCCCCTTGAGGCCATATTTGGTTTTGTTTTTTGTTTTTCCCCCTCCACAGAGCAGGAGATAAAACAAGTGAATTTGTACTTTGACTACAAATATTTATAGTCATTCAGTTCTTAAGACTTTGAGTTTGCTTCAGACTTTGTCAAGCTTAGATTAGACCCATGATTTCCTCTACGCTTGACTTATTCCAGAGACAACCCTATAGACATTTCCATGTGTGCACAGTTCATTCAGAGTTGTGCTGCACTGTGGGTTTTGTAGTGATGCAGGGTATTCCTAAATGTGCTTATTTGGCTGCTGTAAGGCTGCAGAATTAACTACATCCACCAGCAATGTGGCAAAACACATTCTTACAATAGATCTGGGTTGAAATTTATCAGACATTTTTTCTGGTGTGTGTGTGAAAATTTGATGATCTTCTTCTTCTTCTTCTTCTTCTTCTTCTTCTTCTTCTTCTTCTTCTTCTTTTGCCTTCCTAGAAAAAGGAGGCCACTTTTTTGGATTGTCTCTGAATATTTTCCACCACCACCAACAAAACAAAAACCCAAATCCTTAGGGGGGGGGGGAGAAGCAGCTGCTTCATGGTAAGCCCATACTTCAGAAAATGCTGAAGAATTTCTCCTTCGCCTGGAGAAGCTCAGGAACTGACACCAACCCTACTGCATGGCCAATTTTGTCTGCCGACAAATGTGGAATTTTAAGAGGTCATTTGAGCTTGGCACTTGTTTACAGCCATAAAATGGCCTGTTATTGCACTGCATCATGGATTCTGAATCTTAATGCTCAGAGAGCCATATTTATTAGTTTATTTAACAAAATTTATATACCGCTTGATTGTAAAAATAAATAAATATCCAAAACCTCAAAGCAATTTACAAAAAGATAAAGCAAGAAAAAAATTACAGCCATACTTTAAAACATAAAAAAGTTAAAATACTAAAACAGATTAAAATTACCTCAATTTCATAAGCATCTGGGTAGGCTTGTCTAAGCAAGAATGATTTTAGCAGGCACCGAAAAGAGGGCAGTGACAGCACCTGCTTGATCTCAATAGGCAGGGAGTTCCAAAGTGTAGGCAGCACTACACTAAATGATCAAGTTCTTACAAATGTGGAGTGGGTGTATGTGGCCAATTTGGTAGTGCCAATTCTACCAATTGAAGCAGTTGAGTGGGCCCATGTTGGGTAAGGAGATTTCGTAGGTAAGCTGGTCTCAAGTTGTTGAGGACACCTTGTTAAGGACACAAGTTAATAGTAACACCTTGAACTTGGTCAGGTAGCAAATGGGCAATCAGGTGTTAGATGCTGGCAGTGTTGGGATTCTTTTAGTGATTTAGTTGAAGAATAAAATGAGAATTCCCTGGATGCCTAGATCCATGTGTGGGGCAAGCACTATTTGGTGAGAAATTTAAAATCACAAAACATGCAGCAAAGTAAAGCATGGAAATATAGGCTGTAGTTAGACCTTTAAATACCCCCTTCTTAAGTTTCTTCCCCACTTCCCCTTAGCATATGTTTGTTAAGTCTGGTAAGAGATCATATATTTGTAAGTTCAAAATGGTTTACTTACAAATATTTCAAAGCTCAGGTTCATGTGCTTTTCCATACAGCAGGAAGGGGGGAAAGGTAGTACAGCTTAGGAAACATTTACCAGTTTTTGAATTTATCTTCTCATGAAGGGCTGCATCTCACCGGCAAAGAATCTGCAATGCATGTAGAAGGTTCAGTAACTTTTCCTTATTGGGTGGGAAAGGAATTCATAGAATCATAGAATCACACAATTGTAGAGTTGGAAGGGATCCTAAAGGGTCATCTAGTCCAACCCCTGCAGTGCAGGAATCCAACCTCTGATTAAAATTGTCCAAGGAAGGAGAGTCTACCACCTTCTGAGGAAGTCCATTCCACTGTCGAACAGCTCTTACTCTCATAAAGGTCTTCCTGATGTTCAGCCAGAATCTCCTTCCTTGTCATTTGAAATACCACTGGTTAGGGTCCTGCCCTCTGGAACAGCAGAAAACAAGCTTGTTCTATCTTCCATGTGACAACCATCCCTTTAAGTACAGTCATACCTTGGGTTACAGACACTTCAGGTTGTGTTTTTTCGGGTTGTGGACCGCCGAAACCTGGAAGCACCAGAATGGGATACTTCTGGGTTTCGACAGTCGCGCATGTGCAGAAGTGTTAAATTGCGCTTTGCGCATGCCCAGATGCACCAAATCGCAACCCACAAGTGCGCAGACACACCGCTGCGGGTTGTGGACACTGCGGGGTGCAAACGTGCATCCCACACAGATCACATTCGCAACCCAAGCATCCACTGTATTTGAAGACGACTATCATATGACCTCTCAGTCTCCTCTTATCAAGGCTAAACATGCCCACCTCCCTCAACCGTTCCTCATAAGGCTTGGTTTCCAGACCCTTGAGCATCTTGGTCACCTTACAGAGGAAGTCAACCATTCCAAAATCTTCCACAGTTTCAAACTATAGTCTGTCAGGCCACAGTCAATAGAAACGATAAAAGTTGTTTAGATTGAACATCCTTGTTTGGCCCATGGCACAATGATGATAAAAACAGTTGCTCCAGCTCCCAGTTCACTTTGGTCACCCTTTTCTGAACTTTCTCCAGTCGTACAGCATGGCAGGATGGGAATTCTCCAGAGGTAGGTGTGTTTATGTGTGTGGTGTGTGGTGTGTGTGTGTGTGTAGGATTGTTATGTTTGAAGAACAGAAAAAGTATTCTTCTTTTTGTTGTCGGATGCTTATTTAAATGCACAGAGAGCCTGCCGCTGTTTGTTCCCTTCCCTAATCCCATCTCGGATGCCACCAGGAGGATGTTCAAAGGACGCATTCTGAATTGCAAAGGATGCGCTCTTTGGGAAGGGAGAATTAAAGTAGGGAAGAAAGCTGAACATCCCCTAGGGATCGGTTTGTGCCCTCAGGTGCTGTACTAATATTGAGGGGAGTGTTGAGGGGAGAAGGAAGATTGATAGTATGTGGAGCAGGGTGGGTGGGGAGACGAGACTTATCCTGCCCAATATGCTGTTGATGGAAGAACAAGGATTGTGCCCTGCAGCTGTGGTTTTAAAATTAAATTACAGAAGAAAAGCAACTTAGAGCAGATGAATACCTGGTGGGACAGAGGGAGGGAGAGCCTGTGAGTGAGGATCCTGTCAGTGGCTGTCAGTCTCTCTGGGTCTCAAGGAAATGACGCCCCATTTTAACAAGCTAGTCACTGGCTTATAGAATTGTAGAGTTTGAAAGGACCCCAAGGGTCATCCAGCCCACCCCCCTCTGCAATGCAGGAATCACAACTAAAGAAGCTGCTGCCAGTAGGTGTACACAACGCTGAGCTAGATGTACCAATGTTCTGACTCAGTACAAGGCAGCTTCCTATCTTCCCATGAATGGGCTGCAACTCACTGGTAGAGCACCTGCAGTGTATGGGTTTAATCCCCAGTAGCATCTCCAGCTTAGGCAGAGAGCTCTGATTGTAATATAAAAAGAAACCTCAAAGCAGCTGACACACAAAAAAGAATACAGTAAAACACTAAAAATTATCAGTTGGGGGGGGTTAAAGCTATTTAAAACCTGGGGGGGGGGTTAAAATAAGCGAAAACCACATTAAAACAAATGTCAGAATTCTGTGGGTTTGGCTATGTTTGCCCGAACAAAAAATATTTATAGCAGGCAGCAAAGGTACCCCCCTGAGGTCAATAGGCAGGGAGTTTCAAAGTGTCACACTAAAAGATGAATAGGTGTGCGTGTCCTTATGTTTCTATCAGAGAAATATCACTTGGGAACCAAATATCTGTGGGTCCCAATAAGGGCTGGATGAGGTGTTAAAACTGAGGAATCCCGAGCGATTGGCCAGGTAGCTTGAGGGGGGATCTTTGCCACCTCCCAAAGGGAGTCATTTCTTCATGCTGAAGGATTCCGCCTCCCCCCCCCCCGCCCCAACTTGCTCCTTCAAAAGCCAGGCTTACGCTCTTCGCTGGCTGAGGCTCCAGGCTTTGAACTGAGCGGAGGGGGGGGGGGGAGAGATGAGATGAGATGAGAGAAAGGAGGGATTTTGTACTCTTCCACACCCCTCGCCTCCTCGTGCCTCCGTCACTTGCATTGTCAAGTCTGATCAGAAGGAGGATCAGTCGTCCCCGACTCTTCCTCTCTCTCCAGATTTAATTAACGGTCCTTTCATCTCTACCCTGAAGGAATCTGCTATCTTCTGTCTCCTTAATTAACGTTCATTAAGCAAATCAGAAGAACGTTTTCTCCTCACAGCCTCGAAGGTTCTTAGACCGCTTGCCAGGCACCATGTTTGCATGCCCCCCCCTAAAGGGAGGAGAAGGCACGGTGAGGTCATGAGAGGGGGCGCAAGATGGAAGTGGGAGACCCTATGCGGAACCTGAATTTGTTCCTTTGTCTCAGCTGCTGAAGCCCTATTAACTGTTATTATTAAAGATAATGGGACTAATGTGGCTTGCAGATAAAAACACAAAACACAGATAAAATACAAAGAACTAAAAACAAATAAAAGATAACCATGAAGAAGTAATTAAACTATAATATAATTGAGGCAATATCAAAAACAAACCTATTGAAATACAAATAAAGACAGTGCAGCACTACTAAAAGCCCTTTCCTTCAAAAGTCAGCCAGTTCCCATAGGCCTGTTGGAACAAGAGAGTCTTCACCTGCTGGCAGAGGGACAACAAAGGAGGGAGCCAGTCTGGCCTCACTAGGAAGGGAATTCCAGTCTGGGGGCAGCCACCGAGAAGGCCCTGTCCTGCATCTCCATCAAGCCTGCCTGTGAGGGTGGCGGGACTCAGAGTAGCGCCTCCCTTGAAGATCTCAGAGTCAGGGCAGGTTAGTATGGGAGAATGCAGTCCTTCAGACAGCCTGGGCCTAAGCTATATAGAGATGTATAGGTCATAACAAGGGTCACTAAGAACAATATGGGTGCTCACCATGACCTGTGTGAGAAGGTAAGACAAGCCCTGCTGGATCAAGCCAAATGTCTGTCATGGTGCAGCATGTTGTTCTCACAGTGGCCAACGAGAGGCCAGGGCGCAAGAGAGGGGTGTGCATCATACCCCTGCCTGGGATCAAAATGGGTGCTGGGAGCCAAAAGAGGGGAGCCAGAAATTTCCTGGGACCTCAGAAGACCTTTGCAGATATTATGTGAAGACTAGCTTTTACATTTTGTGTAAGCCTATATAAAACACTATGACATTTCTTCACCCACCCACTTCCTGTCCTGCTCCTGCCAGCATGGCCCTGTCTACTTCTCCCAGGCAATCCAGAGAGGCAGCCCTGAAATCCCAGTGAAAGATAGTATGAGTGGGCAAGGCGAGAAGGTGGGCTTGCCTTGCCTCCCCTGCGGGAGACATGCTCCGCCCACTGAAGGGACTGCCATCTGCAGGTGGAGGGCAGCAGGGGTTTGGTCCTGACCTGACAGCAGCCTGCCTTCAAGCAGAAGAGGGCAAAGCAGCTCATGGTCACCACTATCATCATGAACAGATGAAGAACTGACTACATCTGGTAAAATTATCTTTTCCAAACAACTCTCCTAAGAATCAGGAGATGGTTAACATTTGCATTGATTCAAATTATGATTGTAAAAGTATAATAAAAGCAAAAAACAAACAAACAACAGGTATTTCATAGTGCTCTGCTTTATCAATTCTATGAATAGAAGACTGGGTCTGTGCATTTTAATTTGGAGGTTTTCTGACAAAAGGCGTTGTCAATTTGGAATTATTGGTTAACCTGAGAAACAGCTCAGATATGAGGAACAAGGAATTGCAAATTCTTTTTACTGCTGAGCACAACTCAAGTTATTTCAGCCAGCTGGCAACAAGCTGCAAAGTTTGGAGGGGAGCTCTTGCTGGATTGTTGGTGTTTTGATCAATCAGGCACATTCGGTGCTGCAATTTTTACTTGTATTTATAATATTGCTTACAAATAAAACTGAATGACAGAAAGAATGGTGAAGCCTGGAGAACATTTTTAAGGTTGAGCAAAGGAAGATCAGTTATAGCATGCCGTATTTTACTGCAGAGGAAAGGAGCAGCTTTAGATATACTCCCATCCCAACAGCTTCATTGCAAGAACATCCCCTTTATTTTCTCTCTCATATAAATAAACTGCAGTTGGAAACAGTGGACAAAAAAACCTCTCATGATTTTCCACTCCTGGTTTAGGAACAAATTGTTAGGTAGTTGGTTCTTCTAAAATTAGAAGTATTAAACATATTTGAATTTACACAGGAAATCTTCCACTACTGTACCCTTACATACCGTACATACAAATGCATGTGGAAGATGAGAGGCGTAATCGTAGGCATTGGCATTGGATATATCAGAACTAAGTTTCCATCTCTAAAGGAAATAGAAAAATATACTATGAATAGACACATCCCTTTGCCTAAAATATTCCCGAAAGCAGAGCCATAACTACAGGGGGGCTAGTCAGGTTTCTTGCCCCAGGTGAAGCCTCCAGAGAGGTTCCGTTGAAGCTCCAAGTCTCTCTCTCTCTCTCTCTCTCTCTGTGTGTGTGTGTGTGTGTGTCTACAAATGCACATTGAAGGGGTGCTAACCTGGGTCTTTGACCTAGGCAAAATAAAGCCTAGTTTTGACTGTACCAAAAAAAACACACACCCACAACCAAGTTTCCCCAGAAAGCATACTGAAATGTCAAAGCACCAATGGAGAGTTGCATGTAAGAGAGTGGCTTCTCTGTAGTCAACAGAAACAAGACAGTCAAGATTAGCTCTCCTGCGTCAGCACTGCATCGGCACTGGTATCTGTTGAAAGCTGGGATTCTAATGAGAAGTGGCAGAAACTTTCCTACAAGATCCCAGAACATGAAAAAACCGCAGCAAATGTTACCTAGCTTGGCAAGAACTAGGAAGGCGCCTGCTCTCTGGGACAGGAGTTGATGTCATCTTAGAAGCGCCAATCAGAGCTGAAGCTTTGAGGTGGTACAACTTTTTAAAGGGCATCATCAATGTTGTAATCTTCTTGGAAGAATGTAGTCTAGCATTTACTGGTTCATTCCAACAAATTGGTGATTCAACCAATGGAAACTTTTTAAAACTTGTGGACCTGTTCTCCAGGTGGGGCCCCATCCTTCAGGAACATGTGCTAAGTGTAGAGGAGTCACAGAAAAGGAGTGAGAGGCTTCAAGTTCATGATTTGTCCCCTGACTCACAAAATGTATCTATTGCAGAATGCTCGAATCATGTGAAACAACACATTTTGCTTGAGTGACAATCTGTAAAGTACTTTGCAATAATAGTAAATCCACATCAGATTCTTTCTGTATTGAACAAACAACATTTATTTTGAGATGTGCACTTTTAAAAGAAACACAAAATGAGATTCAAGAAAGATTTCTCAAGTTTGCAGATAGTTGCAGTGAAAGAAGGAATCAAATTGCTCAGTTGTGCAGGGACGTGAATAGATTTATTAGTTATTATCTTTCCTTCCTCATATTTGTGAGTTCAGTAGAGTGCATCCCTTTACAGCTTAAAAGAGAAACTTAGACTAGTTTTAGCTTTTTAAATTTAACTAATCCAGGATGCTTTAAAGCAGTTTGGATTCTCCAGGTATTTTCCCCTTTAAAGCAACAATCACAGTAACAGTCTGTAAACAGTAAAAATAACATTTACTCACTCAGAGTTTCTGTTGCAGAATGACAAATACAGCGACTTTGTTCAGGCAGCCTTAAAATTGTAATTCAGTTACAAAGACATGCTTTAGTCTAGTTTAAGATGGTGTCTGAGCAGACATTCTCACATTTCTGGCTTGATAATGAAGATGAAGAGTAAGAGAAGAAAGAAGATGTGCCCAGGCAGGTGGGACAATATATGTGTCTTGGGCACAGTGGGAGTGTCTCTCACAGGGTTTTCTCTAGGAAACTTACAGGATAACTATGAGAGCTTCAGTTCCCAACATGTGCCAAATCGTTGGTTTGACTGCATTTTAAATATCCCACAAGTTGATAACTGATACATTGAAAGAACATGCTATTCCTCTCAGTGACCATATTGCTCAAGATTTCGATAATGGGGCAAATAGGGCCAGAAAACACAACAGCGCACATGCAAAAATGGAAGAGAAAAAAGCTCAACAGCCATTTTTTCACCTTGTGGGAGTCACACACTCAACACATGTTGAAATGATGGTGCTGAAATACCTGAGGCAATCACTTTTTCAAAACAATTCAAACTGTGCAACACCACTTCCATTCCTAAGCAGTGGGAATTAATACAAAACAGTATTGGTTGTTCTCTTTGTGGTATAATAAAACTCCAAAAGTCCGAAACAACATGGCCAGATTGTACTGGACGTGTAAAACCTTTTGCATCTCACTTGCCTGGCATTAAATTAGCACTGGAAGACCTCCTAGAACCAAATTTGACAGCCAAAACAAGCCATAAAGTCCACAGAGTTTTATTATATGTGACATCTTCTGTCTGTATGTTGATGTCAGCTGTATGGTACAAAATATTAGCTGGCATAGATATTTGCAACAAGGTCATTCAAGCTAGAGATGCCACACTGGATGTTGAAGTAGCAAATGTAGAAACTCTCTCACAGTTGCTTCTGGCAGAGGTAGATTTAAGGCACTACAACTGGTCCCATCCCCCCCAGAGCTCTGTGCCAAGAGGGAGTCTTCCCAGCTCCTTCCCAAAGCCTTATTATTATTATTAAAGATTTTCTTGGTTTACAAAATTATATGCTTTGTCTCTTTTTACAGGTTGTACAGTCTTTCTTACAAATCAGTTACATTAGTTGTAAGACATTAGTGTTGAGTACAGTATAAGGTTGGGGAAGAAGAGGGGGGAGTGGAGGGGTGGTGAGGCTTATATTTTTTTGTATAGTGTACGTGTGGGATTTTGTGTCAGTGTCAACTGGGTAGGTTCTCTTTCTGTTTATTTATTGCATTTCTTGGTTGTGAGAGGTATTGGAGGTTAGGGTGTGGTTGGTTGTCTGCAGTGTTTGCATTTGTGAGGGGGAGAGGGCTTGTTGAGTCAGGCAAGCCAGATTGATTTGTATGCTGTCAGTGGACTCTTGTTGTCTTGTTGGGCTGTGTATGTGATAAAGGGGAACCATACTGGGTTCTCTAAGTCTATTTAGTGCTTGCCCAGCATTGATAACGAGCTGGGAGGGCTCTGGGACCCTGCCACAGCCTCACACCTCCTTCCCCAAGCCCAGAGCCTCACTTACCCAGCTTTGTGAAGGCAGCTTTGGGCTGGGAGTGGGGGAGGGCATTGTTTAGGCTAGCAGTGTTTCCCAACCTTGGGCCTCCAGCTGTTTTTGGACTACAACTCCCATCATCCCTAGCTAGCAAGACCAGTGGTCGGGGATGATGGGAATTGTAGTTCAAAAACAGCTGGAGGCCCAAGGTTGGGAAACACTGGGCTAGAGACAAGTTTGGGGTAAATTCATTCATCCCTGTCATAGGTGATCTTGAAACCAACCTAGACAGAAGAGCAACAATATATAGGAGTGTATACCTTTTGCTGCCCATCTGTCAGGCTTCCACAGGTGCACCTGGTCCAGCCCTGTCTCTACCTAGCTGCAGGATATCCATCTTAACTAGCAGGTAAGTCTACTCCTGAACTGCTGGTGGGAGCATCTCAAAACAGCCAGAAGCAGGCATTACTCAGGGAAGAATGAAGTAGATACACTCTTAGCACCAGCAGGAGATCCTGAATGTTCACTTACAGAACATACATTTTCGCTTGCATTAGCCGTTCCAAGCGGTTTTAAGGATCCACAAGAAAAAAATTAGCAGGGTAAAAAAAATATGTTCTTAAATAAATCATGAAGGAGGGAGCGCTCTGTTTCATTCCCACAAGCCAGCCAGGTTATTGTCTTCCCATCCCCAGCCTTGGGGTCAGCTCTCTGTCTCCCCGCTCACTACCTGATATGCTGTGGGAGTTTCAAATCAGCTCAGAGCCTGAATGCCACACCGCAGCAAATGGTAAATAAATAAATAAAAAGAAATTTAGTGCCAGCATCAAACAGCAAAAGACATGAGGGAAAAGCTACCTCAAAAAGATTGCAGGGAAGTGATCCACTTGATAAAGAGGTATAATAAAGATCAGGGAGCACATTCATGGAGATCACATACCCTCCAACATTTCTCCAGTGAAAATAGGGGCATGGCCATCACCTCCTGGCAAATAGAAGGGGCTGAAATGGAGGCAGTGGGAGATTTTACAGTCACAAAATTAAAAGACGCCTTCTTCTTGGGAGAAAAGCGATGACAAACCTAGACAGCATCTTAAAAAGCAGAGACATCACCTTGCCAACAAAGGTCCATATAGTTAAAGCTATGGTTTTCCCATTAGTGATCTATGGGGAGTTGGACCATAAAGAAGGCTGGTCGCCAAAAAACTGATGCTTTTGAATTATGGTGCTGGAGGACACTCCTGAGAGTCCCGTGGACTGCAAGAAGATCAAACCTATCCATTCTTAAGGAAATCAGCCCTGAGTGCTCACTGGAAAGACAGATCCTGAAGCTGAGGCTCCAATACTTTCGCCACCTCATTAGAAGAGAAGACTCAAATCAGAAACCGGGATGGCTTATATAAATCCAGGACTGTCCCTGGAAAATAGGGGCACTTGGAGGGTTTTGCCTCCCCATTCTGAAGGAGGAGCCAGAGTGGTCCAGCTTTAGTGGGGAGGCTGTTGTCAAGGCAACCATGACTCACCCAGCTCAGCCTATGTGACATCACTCACTGCTGGCTTCAAAAGCACCAACTGTAACTGATCCAGCAGTTGGTAGTGAGGAGCTGGACCATTAAGAAGGCTAATCGCCGAAGAATTGATGCTTTTGAATTATGGTGCTGGAGGAGACTCTTGAGAGTCCCATGGACTGCTAGAAGATCAAACCTATCCATTCTTAAGGACATCAGCCCTGAGTGCTCACTAGAAGGACAGCTCCTGAAGCTGAGGCTCCAATACTTTGGCCACATCATGAGAAGAGAAGACTCCCTGGAAAAGACCCTGATGTTGGCAAAGATTGAGGGCACAAGGAGAAGGGGATGACAGAGGACGAGATGGTTGGATAGTGTTCTCGAGGCTACCAACATGAGTTTGACCAAACTGCGGGAGACAGTGGAAGACAGGAGTGCCTGGCGTGCTCTAGTCCATGGGGTCATGAAGAGTCGGACACGACTAAACAACAAGGAAAAAATGATACATTTTGGGATCAAATCAGAAACCGGGATGCCTTCTGTAAATCCAGGACTGTCCCTGGAAAATAGCAACACTTGGAGGGTCTGAGACCAGGGGGAGCAAGGTGGGGTAGGGGGTTGCAGGTAGGTAATGTTAGTGAGCAATGCAAGCAGGGGCAACAGGCCCTGGTATTTAAAAAACAAACAAACCCATAAAGAGTTATATGAGCTCTCCTCTGGTACAGAGAAGGAATGCTCAGTCTAAAAATAAATAACAAGATGTTGTATGTGGGCTGTGGCAGTCAGATGTCTGTTGGTTCCCCTTCAGCACATCCGGGCAAATCTTCCAGGTCTGCGTTGCTCCTGTTGATTAAAATGTGGGTAAAAAATCTCCATTCCTCTTCTCTTCCAACACCATGTCCAGCTGGGTGGCAAACTCTGCTGGAAACGCTGAGTACTTTATTACTATATCTTTTCAAAGCTGAGCTCCACAAGGCCCCAGGCCAGCCATGAAACCTCTTTGATACAACTGAAAATTCACTTTTAAAAATAAAATAAAATGTAAGTATGGATGCAATGAATATCCTGGATGTTTGTTTCCCAAAGGCAAAAGTTTTTTTTAAAAAAATTGCATATTTATAATTGAGGATAAGCATCCCAAGTAAAGCAATAGTTATCACAGGTCTGTCTGTGTGAGGGGGGGGGGAGAGAGAGAGTAGGTGAAATGGTAGGTTTTGCAATCCTGCTTTATTTTATTTTATTTTTACTTCCATTTATGAATTGCTTCCAATAAAAATATCTCGAAGCGATTTAACAATAAGAACATCAACCAAGAGGGCAGCAGCAGCAGTTTCATATATGAAGCAATCCTCAGTCTAATACAGATACAGACCAGGATGAAAAATAAATACATCTCCACTGAAAAGTCTTGGTTTAAAAAGGAATGTCTTCAATAGGCACCGAAAGGACAATCATCTGACTTACTATTATTTCGACTATTTTTACTATTACTATTATTACTATCACCATCATTGTCAATCTTTATTATAGAAATTGTGTCTGTCTGATATATTCAAGAATGAACAGGATTTAGCGCTTAATATTGGGGCCATGAACTGGCCAGGACCTGGGGCAAATCTAGGGTTGCCGTATTCTGAAGAACAAAAAAGAGGACACATTTGTCAACTTCTACTTTTAACTAAAAAGGGACACGGGTGGCGCTGTGGGTAAAACCTCAGCGCCTAGGACTTGCTGATTGCATGGTCAGCGGTTTGAATCCCCGCGGCGGGGTGCGCTCCCATCGTTCGGTCCCAGCGCCTGCCCACCTAGCAGTTCGAAAGCACCCTTAAGTGCAAGTAGATAAATAGGTACCGCTTTATAGCGGGAAGGTAAACGGCTTTTCCGTGTGCTGCTCTGGTGCCGGTTCACCAGAGCAGCTTCGTCATGCTGACCACGTGACCCGGAAGTGTCTGCGGACAGCGCTGGCTCCCGGCCTCTAGAGTGTGATGAGCGCGCAACCCTAGAGTCTGTCAAGACTGGCCCGTACGGGCAGGGGTACCTTTACCTTTACCTTACTTTTAACTATGGATCTCTAAGACAAGTTTTGCCACCCCAAAACTCTTCAACACCAATTGAAACAAATTCCTTCTTGAAGAAATTTTTTAAAAACCTGGGCAATGCCAACAACATATATTATGCAAATAGAGTAATTTTGCATAATTTCCCACAATCTGCACATTTTTAGATTGAATAATTTATTCTATTTCGCTAATCACAAGGAGGAACAAGCACTTATTGCTAGGAATCAGACAGAGATCCCTCTGGGGTCTGCGCCTTTTCAAACAGGGTGTCCCAGTCTTAAGGACTAGAAACTCACTTTGGTTGTTGTTGTTGTTACTGTGGCGTTTGCCTCTTCGTTTGAAAATGTCTGTACAGGGGAAGAGAAAGGTTTATAGGTAGACCAATAGGAAAGCCAGAGGCAGAGTCTATCTGTTTATAAAAGGGCTTAACCCAAGGTTTGGGTGTGGGTAGTTGGTTGGTTTTAATGGGTGGGTTGGTTGGTTGGTTGGTTGGTTGGTTGGTTGGTTGGTTGGTTGGTTGGGAAAGGCAGTTGGAAAAGCAGTTGGCAGGCAGTTGGAAATAGACAGTTAGTGCAATTGGTTCTTGTGTGAGGGGAGGTAGAAGAGATAGAGACAGGATAAAAATAAGACTAAGAGGGTAATGAGTAACAACATTTTGGAATGCAGTTGAAGTTTATTTGTGTCTGCAATAAACTACGCTCATCTTTGTTAACTTAAGAACCTGACTGAGTCTAAGTGATTTACTGGGGAGAACATGGTTGGGGGCTGCGGATTAGTGGTGTACTGGTCAATAGTCTGTGAGACGACCGGGGGCTCCATACAAACGCCACAGTTACAAACTTAGATATTCAGGAAGCTGTATTTTGTGGTCACTATCACATTCTGGAGCAGATCATGGCATATTCATAGGGACGCGGGTGGCGCTGTGGGTAAAAGCCTCAGCGCCTAGGGCTTGCCGATCGCATGGTCAGCGGTTCGAATCCCCGCGGCGGGGTGCGCTCCCGTTGCTCGGTCCCAGCGCCTGCCAACCTAGCAGTTCGGAAGCACTCCCGGGTGCAAGTAGATAAATAGGGACTGCTTACTAGCGGGAAGGTAAACGGCGTTCCGTGTGCTGCGCTGGCTCGCCAGATGCAGCTTTGTCACGCTGGCCACGTGACCCGGAAGTGTCTCCGGACAGCGCTGGCCCCCGGCCTCTTGAGTGAGATGGGCGCACAACCCTAGAGTCTGTCAAGACTGGCCCATACAGGCAGGGGTACCTTTACCTTTTTATCACATTCTGGAGCAGATCATGGCATATTCATACGATTATTTAGGAAGCCAGAAGGAAAAGAGGCCAGCATTCTTTAACTAATCCCTCCATTCTCCTTCCTGAATGACAAAACTGCAGACAGCTTGACTGTAATGAGATTTGACTGGAAAATTCTACCACTGGTGGGCTCTGGAGCTTCACTGCACAGCCTGCTGGGAAAGATCTGCCTAGGTCATACATGTGAGTGCATCACGGCTGATCATGCCACCCCATGACTGACACTCTGGCGGAAGCCCATGCAACTGTCCTGAGTGATGTGTAATGATGGTTTTGTCAGGCCTGGTGCAGTTGGCACCTTGGCAGAAGGTCATTCGTGCATTCCCCAAATGAGCTTTGTCAGGCTTCCGTTGGTTGAGTTGATTGATTGACTGGCAGCCCAACTGAGTGGCAGAATCGCCTCTGTGTCACCGTGGCTTGTCAAATCTTCGACAGGTGCTCCAAGGAACCTGAAAGATGCCGCTAGCCAAAAGGCAGCTACAGTGACGGGTCACAGGAGGAGCTGCGGAGCCAGGAATGTTGCTGAGAAACCAGCAGAGCAATTCCATTAGCAGCGAGACCAGCAATTCACACCAGGATTGCAGGAAGCAGCTCAATAGTGAGTCAGACCAATGACCCATCCTGCTCTATATCGTCAACATTGACAGGCAGTGCCTCTCAAGGGTTTCAGGCAGGAAGTCTGTTCCAGCCCTACCTGGAGATGCAATTGAGGTTTGATCCTGGGGCCTTCTGCATGTGAAGCAGATACTCTGCTGCTGAGCAACAGCCAGTCCTCCTAAAAACCTGAGCTGTGCATGGTCTCAGCTGTGCATTTGACTCAGAGTTGGTGTTTTTGGGTCTCCCACAATTCAGTGGCCTTGCTATCATTATTTAATCTAAGACTGTGGTTCCCAAACTTTTATTTGGGGGGGACACCCCCCCCCTTGGTTCCATAATTTCATCCCCAGTGCCAACTACCCTATAAAAAGCATTCAGAATAGTGGTTTGCATGACTCAGGAAGATAATAGCACAATAAAATACAAAACAGTAACAATTAATTGCACATTTATTCAAAATCCAATTAAAACTATTCTGTTTAATTCATCAAAACTGATGAACTTGATTCCAGCTTTTCAAAGTCTGATAGTGATTTACACCTCTAGCTCCCCTTACCACCCCCTTACCTCTTAGTGCCCCCACTAGTCAATCCTACTACCCCCATCCCCAGGGGTTCCTACTGCTCACTTTGGGTACCGCTGGTCTTAGCCATTAATAATCCATTTCCTGGTAGCAACCCGGATGCAGCTAGCATTCTCCTGGAGATGTGATTGTTTTGTTAACTACACAAAATTGGTATGACCAGGTTTGGAAGACAGCACTTCTAGAAAAATTAACAAAACATTGCAGAGTAGTCAGAGGTGACATTGCAGGAGGTCAATTTTATAATGACTGATCTCAGTTCATTTTTTAAATTAATTCCTCACCTAAAGAACCTAGACGAAGGCCCATCTAGTTCAGCACCCTGTTTTTGCAGTGGCCAGCCAGATGCCTTTGGAAGTCTGTAAGCAGAACTGCACTCACCACCACCTGAAATTCCCAACAACTGGTCTTCACAGGAATACAACCTCTGGCAGTGGGCATAGACCATGGCCATTGTGACTAGTAGCCATCAGTAGCCTTGTCAACCAGATGCCCCAATGGGAAGCCTTCATGCAGGCCATGAGCAGAACAGCAGCTCTCCCCACCTGGGATTCCCAGCATTTAGAGGCATACTGCCTCTGAAGTGGAGGCAGAACAATGCCATTGTGGCTAGTGTTCGTTTATTGCCTTATCCTCCATGAATTTGTCTAACCATCTTTAATGCCATCCAGGTTGTTGCCCATCCCTGCAAGTTGTGGAGGCAAAGTTTAGCTGTGCACAGTGGGAAGAAAGACAGAAATACAGGTAAAGAGACTGTTCCAAGAGCTTGATGGCCAGAGGGAGATTTGAAGCTCTTTTCTTCCCAGGCCTGGCATAAAACTCTTAACTCAGATCCCTACATGATGGACTGGGGAAGCACCCCAGTTCAGACTTTCAGGGTAATGGTATTTAAAAAAGAATATAATGCTGTATGTCAACAAATCATATCTGATCCTGTGCTAACTCTACTTTCACCAGGAGTGATAGCAAGCCATGTGCTTTTTTATTTCATAAAATATATACACTGCTGCATTATAAAAATAGAAAACCTCAAATAGATTTACAAAAAGATAAAACAACAGAATCAAGAAAAAGATACAATAACTTTAAAACATACAAAAAGTTAAAATGCTAAAACTGATTAAAATTCACAAGAGCATGTCTAAGACTTGCCTAAATAAGATTTTTTTTTAAAAAAAAAATGTGTATAAATGCCTGACAGCATTCTTGCTAGCAATGACTAGGATGGAAATGGCAGCCAGATGGAAGTCAGGCTCAGGTCTATCTGCCCCAAACTCGCTTGCAATGATTTGGGAAATAGTATGATCAGAGCAGCTCACTCAACACAGTTGAGTGGTCAGAGGCCAAGCAAAAAAATGCAAGTTTGGGGCAACGTGGTTTATGTTTCTTACTTCTCTGGTCAAACCTCCAGTGATGCATGTATCCTTATGGAGAGATACAATTTCATAAAGGACTTTCACTGTTGTGTATTCTATGCAAATGAATACTCCAAATGCACTCCATATTAGTTTGGGTTTGTTTTTATTGCTGCTTCTTTATTGCTGTTTCTTTGCTGTTGGAAAAATTGACAAAATGTATTTTTTTTAAGCCTCTGCCTCAGATGTGTGGGGAACCTGCAGCCCTCCATCTGTTGTTGGACTCCAGCTCCCATCAGCACAGCAAAAATGGCCAGTGGTCAGGGATGATGGGAGTTGTAGTTGAGCAACTTCTGCAGGCCCAAAGACTCCGCACACCTCCTCTAATTGCTCCACCACGCTGGTTCATGCATCGCTCCTCAGCACTTGTTTCCTAGAAAAGCAATGTCTGTTTGGTTTAATTTGACTTTTTCTCCAGAGTATGATTGCATTATCCCTGGCAAATTGTCTAATTTTAAAAGACAAACACAAGCCATGTACATGAGGAATGGGAACTCCTGAATCAAAGATATAAGTTCTGCATTAAGAAATTAATTAATTTTATTACGTTTATAATCCGCATCACCTCTCCCTCCCTTCAGCTCGCCTGGTCTCAGTCTGCTTAGGGAGGGGAAACTGTTTTCATTCCCTTCAGGGCAAACTTTTGGGAAACACCTGCCAGTAGTGGGTGGGGCCAGAGGCAAAAGTGGCCGGAGCAACAAATAGAAATGTTACAGTAGTGTAGTTTTTACAGTACTGTAATTTCTCTCTCTCTCTCTCTCTCTCTCTCTCTCTCTCCCACCCACACCCTCACCATCTGCTGTCCAGGAAAGCAAGAATTTAAGGACACATCCCAGCTGCAAAGCAGAGTCCCTTCCAACTCTGCAATCCTATGGTTCTCTAGATAAGAACAACACAGAGCAGTTGAAAAAAACGGTCTCTCCTCTCTCCTCTCAATATCTAAATGCCACCTTCTGCACCATACTCTCTTTTTCTTTTTATCTTGTAAAGTTTTTTTTAAATTTCATGTGGTAATATATATATATATAAAACAGAGAATAGTAATTTTAACAACAGGTGAAAATTAAAAGATGAACAACAAAATTACAAATTGGCACATAGAATGAGTCCAGTTGCACTTGAATTAAAAGAACACAGTCCAAGTAAAGACTACCAGCATTATCAGATTATCAACCCTAGTTCCAGATTTGCTAGGCTTGTATTGAGGGTTGTCCTGAAAATCAGGAAGAACTTTCTGGTGGTAAGAGCCATTCAACCGTGGAATGGTCTCCCTGGGAAGGTGGAGGACTCTCCTTCTTTGGAGGTTGGATGGCCATCTGTCATTAATGTTTTAGTTGAGATTCCTGCATTGCAGGGGACTGGACTAGATGACCCCTTGGGCCCCTTCCAACTCTACAATTCTATTCTTTTTATACTTTGGTATCTTCCCATACTC